GTACCACAGCTGTATTGGATCACAACTGTATTGAGCCACAGCTGTACGGAGCCACAGCTGTATTCAACCACAGCTGTATTGAGCCACAGCTGTACTGTACCACAGCTGTATTGAGCCACAACTGTATTGAGCCACAGCTGTACTGTACCACAGCTGTACTGAACCACAGCTGTATTGTACCACAGCTGTATTGTACCACAGCTGTACTGTACCACAGCTGTACGGAGCCACAGCTGTACTGAACCACAGCTGTATTGTACCACAGCTGTATTGTACCACAGCTGTCCTGAGCCCAGAAGAGGTGCTGAATGTGTTTCTTTGCTGAGCTCTGTAACTTGAGGCCCGTGCAGAAACTCAGAGCCTCCACAGGGACAGAAGCGGTCGCGCAGACGTCAACTTCAGCTCTGGCCAAAGCAGTTTTCTTAAAGTACCGGTGCATGTGAGGTTAAATGAAGTGCTGCCGTGCTTTTATTTTGTTACACTGCAGAGTTCACGGGCTGCTGCTCGTTTCTAACTCCATCCAGAGGTTTATTATGCTGACAGACACGTCTGCCAGACCGGTCAAAATCCATCACTCACAACTCTGAATGCAGCGCTCTGAAATGGAAAAATGTCTTTGGACTCTAATCTCTCCAGCTCTACTTTGTAAATCTTTACACAGCAGGAACAAGAGTCATCCCATTAATTTTTCTGCTGTGCAGACAAAAAAATCATTAAAGTTTGGTAATTAATTGGATGTGCATCTCTGTTCATGCGTGGAAAAGAAAAGGGAATTACGGCTTTTTATGTGGGACAAAGACGGGAGAAAAGGCATGAAATGAGATAATCATCAACGCATCAATTATAATTAAGAAGAGTAGATACTGTACGCCTGGAGCGCCCGCAGTTCGTCAGCTTCTGTCAGCCAGCAGAACACATCACAGTTCTTCCCCTCAGCTGACGCCTTTGACTGACGGCTGCATGTTTCCCTGCAGGTTTCCTGCATCATGGAGACATCTCCAGGGCTGTCAGTAAGGCCGAGGCCCGGGCCGTGGGGACCATTATCGACGAGGTCATCCACGGGATCTCACCGGACGTCACGCTAACGCTGACAGGTGGCTTCCGCAGGTACAGGGTTGGTCAGTGTGGGTGTTTCAGATGAAATTTAAAAAAAAGTTCTGTTGTTGGAACGGAGTCAACGCTCGTTTGTCTGTAGTTTTATTCTGTCCATTTTGTTCTTGTGCGAACTTTGTGCTTTTCAAAATGTTCGTCTCAGAAACTATGTGCTTAAACTTTTTATTCTTGCAAATTTATACTTTTTAAAATATGTAACTTTATTTGAAACAAAACTCCCCGCCCACCTGCACTGAGTTCTCTTCAATTTCTTCAAAAGCATCACTTTAAAAAAAGCTGCTTCCTTTGATGTTTTTGTTTCCCTATGCTATTTTTACTTTTAGCTACAACTTTGCTAACTAGAAACTGCATTTCCTGCCAAAATGGAGTGTGAATGTTTGATGCTGAACGAGCTTTTAGTGTTTTGTGTTCTTTACATTTTGAGATTCTTGTGTTTCTGTTTCCTGGTGCCACATTCCATTCATCCCCAGTGTTCTTCCATTCAGCCTGCCACCCTCACCTGTTCCCAATCAGTGTTCAGCCCAGGTGTTTCCACTTTCACTCTCGCCCAGCTTGTTATTTAAACCAGTGGTTCCCAGGCCTGGTCCCTGAGGAACACCATCCTGCATGTTTTAGTTGTTTCCCTGCAACACACCTGATTCAATGATTTAATTACTTCATCAAGTTCTGCAGAAGCCCGTTAATCATCCATTCATTCAAATCAGGCGTGTCAAAGCAGGAAAAGAACTAAAACATGCAGGATGGTGTTCCTCAAGGACCAGGGTTGGGAACCACTGAATTTTAAACTATCCTTTGTCACCACCTCACTGTCAGCTCATTGTTCTGCAACCCTGTCAGAGGTCTCGGTCCTCCTCATGTTTTCTCCTCAGTGTTGTGTAAGTTGTTGCTGCCACGTCAGCTTTTTGTTTTTGTTCATTTAATAAATCCAGTTTTTTACTTTACATCGTGCTCCCCGTGTGTAACCTCACCGACCCTGATGCTCAGGTTTGTTCACGTTGAAATATATTTTTAGGTCCTTGTGAGTCTGGGTCCGGACCACCAGTGGTGGCTTTCATTCTGAGCACCGGCAGAGTGCAGGAAATCTTTATTTAAAACTGGAGCATTCAAGGCGATGTGCATTTCTTCAAAGAATACTACACTTTTTAATAAAAATGCATTAATCTGACATTAAAACTGTAACTGCTGCATGTCCTGTGTCCTGGTTTGAGGTCCTAAAAGAACAAACGGGTCATGAAGTCCCTCTCGTGCACTGCATTGTCAGAATCAAAGTGCACGGTGAGTATTTTTGTGAAGCAACTTGCTGAGAGCAACTTTTGGTTCAAAGCCGACACCTCCCTGCGTTGCTCGTCTTTGTGCAGCTTCTGATGTGCACTCTTTGTGCCTGAGTAAGCACGGAGCACTCTGCTCGGCTGTGCTGCTAAAACGACCAGCCGTGCGCCAGCTAAATAATTCAGAGGCAGTCTGGCAGCGAGGACTCGCTCGCCTCTCCATGGAGCTCCAGCCGCTCCGCCGATGGCCTTCAAACCTCTTTTCTTGAAGAACCGTACGGTTGTTCAGTTTGAGTCTATTAGACACGTTTAAGGTGTGGTATTTCTTGAAGACATGACTGGAGCTGACTCATGAGTTGTAAATGCATATTTCCTGAAGGTTTAATTAAAATCTGTCAAATAAGTCATTAGATATTTTCCTAACAGACAAAGTTAAAATCAAAGCAAAAATAAACATTACACCATGTGACGCACGCTCCGCACCAACTCTACATTTCAACTATTGTTGTCCTGTTATTTTTTAGCTGTACACACGTTTGTTTGTAATCCAGCTACTTATTTTTTGGTATTTTAGCTGCTCATACATGGAAACGTTCGGCTCATTCAGGAGATGGGTGCCGTAACTTCTGGTTTCTGGAACTTTTCTAACATTTTCCTTTATTCCCAAACGTTTTCATCAGTTCTTTCAGAAAAAATTGTTCTTTTTGAGATCTGCTTCAGCTGATGGTTCTGTTTTTGTCTTATTAGCCTTTAGCTTTTATTCTGCTACATTTAGCTAGCCTTTTGCTACTTTTAGCTTTTAAACAGCCCTTTATTACTTGTAGCTAACTTTTTTTAATGTTGCTTTTTCACAATCTTTTTCCTACTTTTAGCTTCTAGCTACAATTTTGATACTTTTAGCTTTCAGCTAGTGTTCAGCTGCATTTTGCTTTTATCTTACCATTTTTGTTAGCCATTTAATACTGTAGCTATAATTTGACAGTTTTAGTTTAGAGTCTTTTTTGCTGTTTTTAAGCTTCAGTCAGGGCAGCACGGTGGTGCAACTGGTAGAGCTGCTGCCTCTCAGCGAGCAGGTCCCTGGTTCAAACCCGGGTCCAGGGGCCTTTCTGGGTGGAGTTTGCATGTTCTCTCCGTGCATGCGTGGGTTTTCTCCGGGTACTCCAGTTTCCTCCCACAGAACAAAAACATGCATGTTAGGCTGATTGGTAACTCTAAATTGTCCCTAGGTGTGAGTGAGAGAGTGAATGGTTGTTTGTCTCGTTTGTCTCTATGTGGCCCTGTGATGGACTGGAGACCTGTCCAGGGTGTCCCCCGCCCCTCGCACAGTGATCGCTGGACATGGGCACCAGCGACCCCCGTGACCCAAAATGGAATAAGCGGGTAAAGATAATGGATGGATGGATGAAGCTTCAGTCACTTGAATGCTACCTAGCATTTTGCTGCTTTTAGCTTGTGTTTCACAGTTTTAGCTACAACAACAACGCTTCAGTTTGTTCGCTTGTTCAGAGCTCAGCGTTCACACTGAGTTTTCACAAAAAATGTAATTTCTTTAGCTTAGCATCATCGTGCTGAAAGGCAGTTTCTCCAGACTTGACTGAAACGTATCAGGCGGCGTTTAAAGACTCGTTAACACCAAAATACTTCAGATGGTGTCTGAGACGCCAGCTGCACCCACAGCACTCTTCCTGTTCTCCTCAGCGGGATCAATCTGAGAAGGTTCTCCTCTAAAGTCCTGTCAGAGCTGAATGTAATTACCCATAATGCCAGCGTGATGTTGAGCATCTCATTAGCTTCATCTTTGTGGCTGATGGCCCTCGTCACAAATGGAAATTAATGCCCATTTACTCTATGCCTCCTTGAATAGATATTTTTGGCTTTATCAAATCGTTTTTCTCAAGTCGAGATGCTAAAAAAAAGAAAAAATACAACAACTCTGCTCCCAAAAGTTTCAGAAAACAAGTGCTGTCATCCTCTTCAGAGAGCACGGCGAGGTTGACGCCGCTGACTTCAGCCTTATTGAAAGGACAGCTGCAGAAGGCGGGTGACAAGTCTTAAAAGCAGTTCTGTTGAAGGGACGGGGGATTAAAAATAGATCTGGCGTGAAAATGCATCTTCGGTGTGTAAAACGGCTCACACAGCATCGACGGAGCGCTGTATTTGTTTGAGCGTGTTGCCTACAAGTCCCTCTGTGGGTCTTCTTTAACGCGAGGATGTCTGGAAGGTAACTCAAAGTGACACTGATGAGGGGGCAGAAGTGTCTGCTTCCTGCTGCCTTGAAGAACAGCTCAGATAAGTATTCCTTATCGGATTAATGCACGGTGTCATGATTGTTAAACCCGACTCTATTATCCGCTCACAGGAGGGGAGAGTGAAACAAGCCGTCTGGTAGAGAGAAGCCCAGAGGCACTCGCTGCTCATCCTCATCGTCTGATTAGCACTTCGCTCTCGTGTGTTGGACATGGACTTGGACGGGACAGCTGATAAGAGGAGTGAGGTGTCTCTGATTGGCTCTTTGTCCTAACGAGCTGCTTCTGATGCTGCGGACGCTCGGTGGTGTTTCCAACAGCAACAACACTTCCCACATTTGTATTATTCATACGTGTTGTCTGTAGTCCACACAGGTTTGTAAATAGACATGTATTTTTAATAGGCTTTGTGCATAGCTGTTAATAATTTAGCATTTTCCCGCACGCCATGAAAGAGTTGAGTGTCTGAATTCACGCCAGGTGTTTAAATCTTCTTCAGTTCGGCGCTGAGCCGCTCATACTACAAAGAAACCTCAGAGTCGTGGTTCTCGAGCTCAAGTTCAAGTTCAAGTAGGTTTATTGTCATTTCATCACATGTGGTACATGAGGTGGAACGACATTTTATACACAGGGTCCCGGTTACATCCAACAATAGCAAAAACATAAAGTGTACAAAGAAACAGTAAATAAGGATCTAAGATATAAACTAAGATAAACGCTAAACATTAACAATGTACAACAATATGGCGTGACAACAGCAGCACGAACATGAGTCTGTGTGAGCAGATGGGTACGAATGAATACAGCAGCATGATATAATCAGCAGCATGGATAATCAGCAGCATGGATAATCAGCAGCATGGATAAGCAGCAGCACATATCACCAATCAAAGTGGCATTGCAGTGATTTTTTCCACAGTGATTATTCTGGTTAGAGATTCATGAGTCTAACAGTCTCAGGGTAGAAGCTGTTCCTCAGTCTAGTGGCACTTAATGTTCCTCAACCTCCTGGGGTCTGCCAAATGAAGGGTCTTAGTCCTAGTGAGAGTAGTTTGTCCATCAGGGTTTGGGGGATCATGGTGTTGAAGGCAGATGTGAAGCCCACAAAGAGCATACGGAGTTCTTCTGCTCCAGGTGGGTGAGCGCAGTGTGGACCACAGAGGAGATGGCGTCTTCTGTTGATCGATTTTCGAGGTATGCGTACTGGTGAGGGTCCTCGCTGATGTTGATGTTGTTTTGATGTGGACCATGACCAGTTTTTCAAAGCATTTAGCGACTATCAGGATGAGGGCTACTGGCCGGTAGTCATTCAGACCAGTCACTGCAGAGCTCTTTGGGACTGGGATGATGGTGGTGGTCTTCAGGCTGGTGGGAACAGTTGCCAGGGTGAGGGAGGAGTTAAAGATATTGGCCAGCACCTCGCAGAGCTGATCAGCACATTATTTCGGCTTTGAAGAGAGGCTGATTTGGACCAGTTTTTCTTTAAGGTGTTCTCAGAGCTGGATACAGCACTCCTGTGTGTTTCAACATGGCTCTAAAAGTTATGGAAACTAAACTGAGACGTGTTTGAGACACCCAGGAAAGCACGGAGACTGTTTTGAGAGAACATTTGTTGTACAAAAGTTTTGAATGAGCAACAGGACTGAGACCCTCCAAGAAGTTGAGAGAAGTTTTGGAGAATGTAAGCAACAGTCCTAACACACCCTTGGTTCTGTTGGACTTCTGTTTTCTGTTTCTATACTTTGTCTTTGTGGCCAGTTTGCACTTGAGATATTTTAGTTTCATGCATTTTGTCGGCTGTTGAATCAGAGGAGATTCTTAAACTTACTGATAAAACAGTTGACATCAACCAGTCGTCTCCTCAGAAAAATAAAACCTGACAAAATGTCACATTTTCAAACATCCATCCATCATCCATCCATTCATTCATCCATCCATCTATCATCCATCCATCATCTTTACCTGCTTCTTCCTTTATGGGTGGTGGGGGTCACTGGTGCCCATGTTCAGCTATCACTGTGTGAGAGATGGGGGACACCCTGGACAGGTCTCCAGTCTCTCTCTCTCAATTTGTGGCAGTGAGCATGCCCTTGTAGCACCAACAGAATAAAATGAAAATGACTTTGACTAAAGCAAAAAACAAACAAACAAACAAACCGTCCTTCTGTCGTGGCCACGAGGGCAGGCTCACTGCTACAAATGAGAAATAAAATCTCCATCAGTATTATCTTGTTTTGCAGAGCTCTAATTGCTGCTGCATGAATTAGCCACGAGACCTTTTGAAGCCTTCCCTCGGCGATTCAAAGCTTCTCTCCGTCCTTCTGACGCTGCCCGCTCTGACTGCCATCAGTCATTTGCCAGCGGCAGAGAAACGAGATCAAACGTCAAGGCTCGTGGACGCAGACGCTTCTGTACCACCGGGTCGTCCCAAACATCCCCCATCGCCTCGCTTTGGAGTTAGTGGTGACACTAGAATGTACTTCTGTAGTTGTTTATCAAAGGCTTTGTGGGTTAAAGTGTGTGTGTGTGTGTGTGTGTGTGTGTGTGTGTGTGAAAACGATGACAGGACTTTTGGCGAAGCTGACAGGTGGTCTGTCCATTACAAGGCTTACAGAGAGACATTCTCCATCAAATCTGTGGAGTTTGAAAAGCTCGTGTCACTTTTTCCACAAACTCCTATTTTCCTGTCAACTCACTTGAACGACAGTAACAAAACGACAGACTGTTGGATCCTCACAACTTCTTGGGTTTGTCACAAATTTGGTGACAAAGATCAATGATCAATAACTGTTATTGGTCAAATGTGGTTCAGACATGGAAATGATGCTGGTGGAATCTGCTCACATGCTGGAAAATATAAATAATATAAAACCTGATGCCGTGGAAACTTTACTCTGAGATTTAACCAAACCACAACTTCCAGTCTTCATGTGTTTTGTGGACTTGGAGAAGTCTTTCGACCGTGTTCCTGGGGGTACACTGTGGGGGGTGCTCCGTGAGTATGGGCCTGGGGGCTCGTTGTTATTGGCTGTTCAGCCCCTGTACAAGCGGTGCGAGAGTTTGATTCACATTCTTGGCAGTGAGTCGGACCCTCCAGAGCTGCTCGTTGTCTCCAATTCTCTTCACAACGTTTATGGACAGAACTTCTTGGTGCAGCCACGGGGCAGAGGGAGTCCAGTTCAGTGGCCTCAGGATTCATCTCTGCTCTTTGCAGATGATGTGGTCCTGTTGGCGTCATCGTGCCGTGATCTTCAGTGCAGCGGTTCACAGCTGAGTGTGAAGCAGTTGGGATGAGAACCAGCACCTCCAGATCTGACACCATGGTCCTCAAGTCAGAAAAGGTGGATTGTTCTCTTCAGGTCGAGGGTGAGGTTCTGCCTCAAGTGGAGGAGTTCAAGTATCTCAGGGTTTTGTTCAGGAGTGAGGGAAGAATGGAGCGTGAGATTGACAGAAGGATTGGTGCAGCGTCTGCAGTCTAGTGGACTCTGTGCCGGTCCATTGTGGTGAAGAGGGAGCTGAGCTGTAAGACAAAGCTCTCTGTTTACTGGTCGGTCTACGTTCCTCCCCTCACCTCTGGACATGAACTCTGTAGAGACTGAAAGAATGAGATCATGGATCCAGGAGGTTGAAATGAGTTTCCTCTGTGGGGTAGCTGGACTCTCCCTCAGAGACAGGGTGAGAAGTTCAGTTATCAGGAGAGACTCAGAGGAGAACCACTGCTCCTCCACATCCCGAGGAGCCAGTTGAGGTGGTTCATCTGGTGAGGATGCTCCCTGAGCGCCTTCCCAAGGAGGTGCTTCGGGTATGTCCGACTGGGAGGAGACCCAGGACATGCTGGAGAGTCTATGTCTCTCGGTTGTCCTGGGGACACCTTGGATTCCTCCCAGAAGAGCTGGAAGAGGTGGTTGTGGAGAGAGATGACTGGACCTCCCTGCTCAAGATGCTGCCCTGAGACCTGAGTCCAGAACAAGATGATGGATGGATGCAACAAACCGTTGGTGTTTAGAGTCACTGTTTGGAGGCTTTGTCCTGATTGAATGCCTGAACCACCTCAGCTGGGTCCATTCCATGAGGAGGAGCAGTTGGACTTTGATATTAGACGTCATGTTTTTAATATCTTGTGTTTTTTCAGTTAGCGCTGCTCCCTAAACACCAGATTTTATTTGACCTATTAGCCTTTGCTAACTTCTTTTCCCTCCACATTATAAACACGTCTTCAGCTGCTTTTCGTCCAAACTTTATTCTTGCTCTGCTGCGTTGAGTCGATGTCGTCCTGCTCAGACTTGTTTATAAACTTTGTTTATATCAAATCCAGATTATTCAATTACTTCCTCGACCTTCGTCTGGTGCCGTATGTTTAATTTCTCCTCACAGCCACTACAGCTGACTGGTGTGATTCTGTTAATTCATAAATGAATTCCTTCACTTATATCCATCAGTGAGGATTACACACGTCACATGTAAGGAGGATTTCATTGGAGTAAAACACGTATTAACTCTTAAAACACAAACTAGTTTGCATTAAATGTTGGAAATGAACTTTTTTGTTAAAGGCTGTGTTAAAACGTAATGTTTTATTTCCTCATTGATGTGAAAACTGTAACTGATTTAGCTGCCAGGTAGAAGCTCGGAGTATTGTCCTCATAGAGTTCTCTGCTCTCTCACTTCCTGTTGGTGTCCTGTCACATTGAGTTACTGCATCTGTCGTCACTGCTGCTGTTCTGATCAAAACGAGACATTCTGTGACCTAATCAGACTCTAAATGGATGTTTTATGGCACAATGCAGCCAGACTCATGATAATATTATTTTTCTTGGATTAACTGGGAGCAGACTTTAACAAGACTTTATTTTCAGGGGAAAAGAGTTCGGTCACGACGTGGACTTCATGGTGACCACAGCAGAGCTGGGGAGGGAGGAGAGTCTGCTGCCTGAAGTTATTGACCGCCTGAAAAAACAAGTAAGTTGTTTTTATGGACAGAAAAGATCATTCTTGACTGAGTGCTGATCCTTTTCTTATTGTGGAGGAATGAACAGCAAGATCTGGTTAACAGGGGTGCCATGAGTTCTTGAACCATAATATGTCTACATCATCCCAACTCTACACTACACTACACTACACTACACTACACTACACTACACTACACT